TATAATTTAACATTTGTGTGTACCTACACAAACGATTTAAAATTACAATTAAAACCACATTAAAGCCTTTTAGAGTACTGTGTTAGTAAAATTTGTATGAAGAAAACACATTTAAATGAATATATAGGTAGGTATTCACCTATAGTATAATAGATACCTACTGATTTACCTAACAACGTTTTTAATCTCACGTCCATTCAAATAATTTATTTATAATAGCACATTTTGTTATTCGTTTTTTACAGACCTACGCAAAACCTATTTTAAAGATAATCACTTTTTTTATCAGTTTAAAAATAAATATTTTATAAAACATAATAAATCTAGTGTAATACTCAACGACTAACACTCGCTTAAGTCCTAAACCCACCTCGTTTTCAAATAGATATTTATAAATGTAGCTAAGTACTGTTTGTCAACTAAAATTAATTATTATTAGTGCTATTCCGCCATATTAAATTATACATTGTAGAATAGCATTTCAACAATCTTATTACAAAACCAGAGCTGTACATTCCGACCAACGCATAGAATACATCACATGCTATTTGATGCGCTAGGAATGTGCATAGTGCGGTATAGTTCTAACTTTAAAACGAAACGAAATTTTAAACAATTTATTTTATTTTGTTAAGTCTATTGTACAACATAACTTCCGCTACGAACTCGGCGTCACGTGAAGCCACAGCTCAATTAAAATATTCATGATAATATAACCGGCGTAAGCATGCACCTCAGAACGTCACACTTAATATAGGTAAGTTTGTGCACCCAAACAAGTTTACAATGGCTGATACATACCTATATTTGTATTGAATAACGTTGTATTCAATAGTTTTTGGAAATTTCATATTAACAAAAGCCCATTTAACAATTAATAATCCCAAAACCATATTATATTTATAGACACCATAATGCAACAACAGAAACTAGATGACGTCTATATTATAATAGTTTTACAATCGGCCTACAATATTGAGAGATTCCGATATGAATATTATCATTATCTAATGCTGCTGAACGATATAATTAAAGACCTACTTAATATCAATAACCTCTAAATGAAAATAAATAATTAATCTTCTAATTTTTTTTTTTTGGAAAAATACCACTAACAAATTATCCACTTCAACAGATAAATTTACATAGAAATTAGAAAGCACATGATAACTTTTAAAACTGCAGGATTTATATTATAAAATAAACAAACTATCATCGATTAATAACTAATACATCTTAGTTATCATGCATGTATAATAGGTTTCCAACCAATATGAAAATTAAGAGTTGTTGATCCAATAATTTGTTCTGTGCATAAAAAAAATTCTATAACTCCAAATAGTTTTTGTTTTTGAAACATTTTAATTTGTTTTTCTCATCTCCAAAACTAGTTTAGATTCATTTAAAACACAAGTAATCGGTGTATATATTATAATACTGATTACATAATTATTAATTCCACATGATAGGTACAAGCAAATTAAAATACCAAAATAATACTATATAATATATAAATTGTATTATTTCAGTCAGTCTTTAAAAATAATTTTCAAATTAAATTAATTTTGTATTGATTTTTTTAATTTGATGTGCAAGCGTGATTATAGTTGGTACTATTATTCAGGATTTTTTTTTAAATGTTTAAATGTTATGCATGTAAAATAACAATTTTTATTGCATTGTATGTAGTAACAATTATTATAAAAAATATTGATTTAAACAGAAACAAACTGACCAATACGCAAAAAATGCAATAGTATCTGAAGCCCCCAAACAAAGCTCTACTTAGCACAATATTAGACACAAAAAACACATATAAACTATCACACGGAATATATGACAAAATCACTGGTCAAACCAAAAAAATAAATTAAGAGAAATTAAATAATACATAAATCCCTTGGCCACTACCAAAAACATCTAGAAAAAAAGGTATAATAATAAGCCGACTGAAAATCGGCCACACCCACTTCACATGCGGACACTTCATGAAAAACTATCCACCAACGGAATACACCTCATACAAAGTTACTCTCTCAGTACAACATTTGATGACTAAATGCAGATCAAACGAATCAGAAGAAAAACATAACTTACCAACGAACCTATTCGAGATGATTATCTATCCCACTGTCAACCAGAAAGTGTCACGTCATTCTTAAAGACCATAAAAATAGAGGAAAACATTTTATAATTATTAAATAGTTATATTTCAGTGTTATTGTAACCAATTGTATCAAATGTATAAACATATAATGTTTAAATCTACAAAGCTATTATTATGACAAAAAAAAAAATTATTGATGTATCGGTAAACTAAATTTATTAGATTGTAATTATCAGTAAATATGAATCCAGTACACCTCCAATGCATTAAGTATATTATTATGTACGTATAGACAGCATAATATATATGCAGTGTGCCGTTTATGTGTGTCCATTAATTATGAAAGGTATGTTGTATTATTTTAGAAGAAAAAAATATTATTATTTTTAAAAACCAAAACGAGATCATTATAATTGATTTGCTCAAGTGTTCCAATACATTTTTTTGTAAATACAATTAATACTTTCTAAATAATGGTGAAATAATGGTGATAAAACCAAAGCCACACAGTTTATTACTTGTAAACAATTACTTGGAAAAATTCATTATCAAAGGTATGATATCCAATATCCATTGTACCCACTGCTGATTCAGTTATTATATTATAAAAATGATTAAATAAAATATAATGATGCTGCAATAGAAATTTGTTTTGATAAACTGACATGAAAAACGCGTATTGTGTAAGTAAAACACAATTGAATGCAGTTCACTCGGAAAAAAATGTTTTTCTCTAGACTTTGAACTAGTAGGAATTCAGTGCAATTTATATTAAAAGACAAAAAGCTAATCAAATAGTATTTCATTGTATTTCGTTAGAACCAAAATTAAAAATATTAACGTAATTGCAAATGTATGGCACTTTATCGTGAAGATAAACTTTGGAATCTTCACGATAATAGTGTACTCCAAATAATTCATCTATTTAATGTGGACTAATTGTAAATATCTATGTCATTAAATTAGTATAAACAGATATAAAAATAATATTTTTTGCGACAATACCGACAAAAAATAACAACTTATGGTGAAAAATGAATATCATTGTTATATTTCATCAAGTTGATATCGTACCAACAAAAAACTAACAAATTACCTGGCTTAATGTTATTCTCAAAAAAATCTGTATGTAATCCATTATTTAGTTGCATTATATTTTTTACTCTATGTAATGTGTTTATTGAAGAATAATTTTCAAATTATTTCTTTAACCTTTACTGTATAATCCTATGCGCCTATAGGAGGTACACAACTGCGCTTTTTCTTTGTTGTATCAGAAAAATAATTATACGTACAAGGTACAAGCATAATATTATATTATAAAAATTATTTTATTATTATGTTATCCATGCTGTGCTCAACACAATCAAAAAATTAACTTAAGAAATTATTTTCTAAGTACATGATTATCATAGGATCATTTTAAAACGCAGATAAGTCATACACTATACAAAAATGTCTAAAAAGTATAACATGATTTTATTACAAGTAACGTGTAGTTACGACTATTAACCCATAAAATGTATTTTTGCTTTCTATACTTGGCACTTGCATAAAAATATTATTATAGTCGTGCATTGTTGTGAATATTGAGATATGCAATATTTATATAACACGAAATAAGTATTATAATTGTTAATGTTTTTTTTTTTTTTTTACATTAACAAGTCAAAATAGTCATTTGTGGCAATTGCATGTATATTTTAAAATGTATGTGTAAAAGAAAATGTAAACATTTTGTTTTTAATCTTTATCTTGTCTAAAACCCGCATAATATAAGGGAGGTTAAATAAAAAACGCTCTACCTTTCGTTCGAAATTGGCTTTTTGTGGTCATTTTAAGTTATATAAACATTATGTAAGCAGTTTGTAAATAAATCGAATAAAAAAAAAAATATTGTTTTACTTTTTCAATGCGTTTTAAATATATATTATAAAATAAACACCAAACAATGGATGTATATATTATTGTATACTTCAGTTGCTGCCTAATATACAATTTAAACGTTGAAATATGGATAACAGCTAAGTTTTCGAATTTTTTAAAAATTTCAATGTTACAATAGGACATAGGTGATTCTTATTAAACGGTAGAATATGACAACATTGGAAGCTGCAAAAAATATATAGCCTACTCCAACGCTTTTGTAATTTTTACGATCTTTGCCAATAGGATCACTGCCTACGTGTGCTGCATGCACAAAAAAAGTAACTATACATCGTTAAAAAAATGTAATGGGACAGTGCCTAAATAATATTAATGATAATTTACTTTGATTCAATAATAGTGGGACTAGTGGGAGGCAGTAATTAAATCACTATTTATTTTTTTATTTTTGATATAAGTAGGTAGTTGTTCATTTAGCTTTATAAACTATCATCATAAGAATGTATGCTTCACCAACTTTAAAAGAAAATAATGTGTATACTGTTTTATTTACTCCGAACCGTTGTTATCCAATACACAACGTTTATAGTTGGTATGCTAATTGACGAAATAATATTAACACAACAAAAATGAAATTATACAAAATAAAAAATTTAATTAGTCAAATATATTTTTATTAATTTTCAAGAAAATATGTTTAATTCATCAGCTTATACATAACTACCTATAATTTTCCATACACATTGTACAGTAGCTATACAAACACATTATCGCGAATAGTGATTGTTTTAGTATAGAGCGACTTTCTTAAGTTTGAAACGTATTCAATATTAACGTTTTTTTCTTAAAATTGCCGTGAAAACTACAAATTCAAAAAATACAAATCGTACGAAACATTAACAATTATAATACACCTAGCAATAAGCGAACTTGTTCTCAGTAATATTATTATACCATTTTTAAATGGATACTTAAATATTAAACTACATGTTTTACATGTCCTTACCTTATTACAGTATACTATTATGTTCCGCGAGCAGTACCATATCCAATAAAATACGTATATTATTAACTTTGGTTCTTGTTCAAATTCGAGGGAATCGAAAACAATAAATCGTATACAGAATATTAATGCAACGTTACAAGTCGAAATATAAGTCGTATATTATCGCACGCATTAAGGGTTGTATTAACTGTATTACGACAGCGAAACTAATCTCGGAGTATTGCAATATATTACAGGGCGACTAAAATTTTCTTAAGTATTGAAATTGAAAAAAATACACACACACACACACACACACACACACAGCGTTGGAATACTATTTCACTTTACACGGGGGACTGAATAAAAATTTGAAAAAAGTCTCACGATTTATTTTACGGCGTATTGGCGCGAGAACGAGTTAAAATAATATCGCGCTCACGTGGTGACGGAACGGCACATCGCGATGTACTGTACACATTTTTCTACCTCGAGGAAAACGGTTGCTGGAACGCTCCGCGAGATTTTGCGCTCTACGCGCTGGGCCTAAGTTGGTTTTTTTTTTTACTCTCTTATCTCCATCACAGATAACGGACACTTTAACGAATCCGAATAACACTATGATCACTATCGGATAATATTATATGCACACCAAAAGGCAATAATGTACGAATGTATTATAACGTGTTGGGTATGAAATATAGCAGATAATATTTGTATGTATTAAAAAAACAGCGAAGTGGTCAAATAGTTAACGGCGGATTGATTTAACTAAATGCATTTATACTTTATGGACTTTGTTTTATTATATTCCACGTACAAACACCTATTTAAAGGAATCTTAATTCAGACGAATTAAACGCGGAGAAAAAATGGGAGAGGCGTTAATATATTTTTGACGGTTAAGCCCACACATCCTTTTTTTGATTGAGAAAACATAATATACAAATGTTTACTATAGCTTAAATTTTTTTTAAGATTATAAGTGATAACAATGATACCCCCTGCCATAGAAAAGGGCTGTCCGGGGCCTGTATAAGTTCCTATACCAGACATTGTACATTGAAAAAGCATACATATTATGCAAATTTCAATAAGAGTATAACAGTTTAATAGGCATATTATTATAGTTTTTAAACCGGATGTTCAAATTTAAAGTTTTTTTCTATTCTACCGTGGTTTTCTTTAAAATATCTTGTTTTAAACGTGCAAGCTTATAACGTATATTACAATTTAAAACATATTTCATTTTAAACACTTAGTACCTACCTAAATCGTCCGAAACGATTAAAATATGTGTTTAAAACGGTATAAAACCCAGGTGGATATTGTGTTCTAAAAGTTTTTGTACTATACACGGTGTCAACAGCGCTATATACTCAAGCTCTAAAGACGTCGAAACAATAACCCAAAATATTCAAGCTCACCTGAACGTAATTCAAAAACGAGGAGAAAAATGGAAAATAATTTTAAACCCTAAAAAAAGTACAGTGGCACTCTTCACCAACCGTCGCCCCAAAACTCTTGGTAATTTAAAACTTTACGGTCATAGTATTCATTGGTCACCTAACATAAAATACCTTTGAAAAATGTTGGAAGGAAAACTAACGTGGAATCCTCATGTCTCCTCCAAACTACAACAATGCTACAAAAGGCTAAAAGTACAAATGTATTATAAGCATTGATCAACCGACAAACACCACTAAGCTGGAAATGTTCTCTCATATTTACAAGGAAATCCTACGACCATTACCACATATACAAAATACAAGTATTCCAATGCAAATTTCTGGGAACCATATCTATTGCTCCATGATTTATACGTAATGGTGCACTTCACAAAGACTTCCAGCAACAAACTGAGTATATAAAAAAATTAGCGATCAACTTCCTCGACCACACCAATTCTTCACGCAGTGCGAAATTTTATAGACTAAGTGACCCACCCCTGAACGCCAACTCAATCGTAGACGCCCACACGAACTTTTGCTATAATTATTATCATTTTTTTTTTTTTTATTCTGATTTGTAAATACATTAAAAGGTAGTAGATAGTATCTTTTATTATTGATATTTTATTATTAATTGTTATCTATTTTTCAAATGTTAAAAAATGTTTTTACATCACCATTAAGTGAAAATAATATATACTATCATTTATCAAAGATCAAAATCCAAAATTAAAAAATGGAAAAATACGCAATAACCCCGTATCCTAAGCAGAATATTAATCAAATTTCCTTCCCACTTTCATCAGAATATTAGGATTAACAAATTATGGTATTTGGTAAAGTAAAATGTGTTTATTTTTGTATGTTTAATCATATTAAAAACTAAAAACACAATCAATATATATGTACATGTTATATTATATTTAACTGTGTTAAAATAAAAAAATTAATATTTTTTATGTACTTTGTTACGAAAACCTAAAGTCCCAAACACTAAGATACGCCTAAAGCTAATCATTTAGTCATACTACATAATACTATAATAGTACTCATTTCTAAAACAGTTTGCAGTTTAATAGAAAGTTATAAATAACAATATTAACTATAGTAACTACAGAGGTACCTGGATACGCATTTATTTTATATCTGCATGGAGAGATGAATGTACCCATTGATTTTACAATAATATGTTTATTTTTTGGTGTACTTAACTCAAATAAAGCATAATCATAGGTAGGTACATTAAATTTTCATTAAATGTTTATATTAAATCACAAAAAAAACGCAAATTATTTTCAGTTAGAAACTCATACATTTTTCATACATTCACGAGTAAGTTCGACCAGTAACGTAGTAAACGATAGATATTTTGGTGGCAAGATCGTTAATTATTATTAATTGAACTATTATTAACCAAGAAGCATTAATTCCAAATGAAGTATTTTTTTTATAACTAGAATTTAAAAACATAATGTTTTCCCCGATCAAAATATCAAAGTGTTAGGTATCACAGATTTCTAGTGATATTTTTATTATTTGATAAAAACAGTGCCTGAGGACGCGAGGGGACGAAATCCCTATTTTATTTGAAAAATATATTCATGAATACCCTTTCTAATTTATTATATTACGTATCCTAACCATCAATACGGCATTTAAATAATAAGCGGCCTACACGGCGTACACATAGCATGGCTATAAATATATATATTATCTTAAAATAGTTATAATTTATTACACGTGGCACAGCTATAGGAGGGTAGGGCTAACCTGACTGGCACCCCTGACTAATATTTAGATATTTTTTTGTTTACTTCCCCAACCCTTCTCAACCACACCCGTAAGAAATAAAAGTAAATTTATAATCAGGGGCCTTGAAAATGTAATTCAAGGTTTCTCCTAAACCATAAATTATATACGAACTAAATAAATATCGGAAATGCATATTGTGAGAATAATTTTTTATAACCAAATAAAATTAGTATTTTGACGATATCCATAAAAATCAGGAAAAATTAGAAATTAGTTTGTATACCTGGTTAAAAATGCATACTTAACCTTTTTAATATTTATACATACCTAAGATTTAATTATTTAATCTCAGGTTCCTCGTAAGTTTTGATATTATTATAATTTTAAAAAAAACTGAAGTGAATCCCGAAAATATTTAAAAAGTTAATAACCTTAAATAAATACTTGGAATTTTTCTGAAACAATTATACTTTATATATATATGGCGAATGTATTAGTATCGTGTATTTGTGTACCTACACACTATGCAGAGTGATTCACCAAGTATGCTCATCCCTTTTTTTCTTCATTAATGCAATAATTGAAAATCCGATTTTTGTAATTTTTTATTGTACTTGGATATTATTATTGTACTCTCAGAATTATTGAGGCCATTACTCACTCAATATTCGCAACACTGATCGCCCGTAGTCTATGCGACACGATCTGGTGGAAAGACAGAGACCCTCAATATCATGTTAACGGGATAGAAGATGGCGCCATCGTGCACCTCCTCAATCACTATAGCTAATCATAATAATATATAAATATTTAAATAAATTATACCTAACATTTTAAAGACTAGTTTGCCTTAAAATATGATGTTCTCGTCACTGACAAAAATGATCACAAATATTTTAAATACCACGAGTGAAATAACAATACAACCAACATACTTGAAATTATAAATTATGGGACTATCATTAGGTATAGGTAATTCATAAAAATTCTTTAAAAATATCTGCAATACCCCAATATCTTATCCAAAAATTAACAAGTTAATGAAGATAAGTAAATCAAGTTAAATTAAGTTAAGAGAACACTAGTCGATAAGCTTAACAGTTAATAAATCACCATTAATTTAACTCGATAAGTTAAAAGTTGATACGAAAAAAAATATTAACTTAACTCAGTTTAAAAAAAAAATGTAATCTACATTTTTTAATTAGCATGTAGATCACAAAATCTATTAAAAATACCCAATCGATTTTAACAAAAATCTCAGAGATTGTTTTTAAATATATCAGAAAAGTTAGACCTGTCGCTGTATAGTCATTTTAGTAATATTAGTTATATTATTATAAGTTATGAACGAAAAAAATAATATAATCAATATTAATCTTTACAATTTTCTTTATTAACAATGTAATTGTACATCGTTATAAGGTATAAACAAAAAATGTATATAATATATATATATAATATTAATCTATACAATTTTATTTATTTTCATTGTAATTGCTTGGCGTTTGACTTTTGGCCATGATCACTGAAAGAAACCGGAGAAATATTTGAGAGGAGAAACTCTGGTACGAAATCAGCGAATGTCCATTGCCGTCTTACTGCACCAAAGACAACAATATAGAGGATTTGCGGTGACTGTCGGGCCGTAAGGTTAGCCGGCGGCGACCGGGTCTGCAAGTCGGTTCTCGTTGGGCCCCGACGATGGCGCAGTGCACTACAACTCAGCCGGCAGTACTATCGATGGAGCAAGAAGACGTGGTACTCGACGGCGATTATGGCATACAGCAGTAGCAGCAGCCACAGGATCAGGAGCAGCCATAGACGAGTTTGAAATCAGCATTTGTCGGATCACCGGAAATGCCACCCACGTCCTGGAAACCGACCAGTGTTCGTTCTGTGCGATCAGACGAGCCGTTCGGACTAGAAAGCTTTTGGCTGCAGACCGAGGTGTGCGTTGCCCCGTCGGACCCGGAGACGGTGACTGGAGGAACCTGGTGACAATGAAACTGACGGAAGGGTAAGGAGTGTGAGCAGTTCCAGGAAGCGGGATACAGCTTCAACAACTCTGGCTAGCATATTGAAAACTCGATGATTAGATTTGTATACGCTGAAATTAACAATATTTATTTTATTTTTTACGATTCTTCGACATACTGTTATATTATGGTCTGTAATATGTTGTAAGACTCTTAATTCATAATACTGTACATAATATACTTATAACTTACTTAGGTATATCGCTATTCTATATTTGGTACTAATATATTGTGTTAACATTGTTCAATTTGTTGTCGCGCTTCTAAATGAACTGCCACGTTCCTTGGATTTGCCAAATACTTCTTACCCTCTTCAGTTTCACTGCCATAACTTCTGTTAGTTTCTCCTAGATAATGTCACCATCTCCGTGGTACCGACACCCATTCGGGCACACGCACCTCGGTCTGGAACGTTGCTTTCTCGTCCGATTCGCCCGGCCACTTTCCCAACCACACAGAACGAACACGGGTGGGCCGGTTTCCTTCAGACGCATACCAGCATTTCCAATGCATGGTCCTTAGGTGGTGGCTGATCTTCAAACTCGTCCTGCTGATCCCGATCCCTTGTCTGTGGCTGCTGCAAGTGCCGCTGTATGCCATATTTTATGTTCATCGCTGTCGAGCTCGTATCGTCCAACTCCATCGACTGATTCGAGTTCGGCCGCATATTGGTGTAGTACACTGAGCTAAGTCGTCGTCGAGGCCCCAACGAGAACGTTGTGGGGTCACCGCAAGAGTCCACCGTCGGCATCAGCCACAGGACATCCAGGTCTGACAGCTCACCGCCATAATCCTCTATTCTTCTCGTCGTCCTAGGTGCAATATGTCTGGTTCAGCTCCATTACGGTTCAATGAATATTCCCCGATAGTCTATAACGTAGCCAGCGTTTTTCCTCTCGTCCAGTGTCCGGTTTCCTTGTGAGTATACATAATAATTCATTTTTAAAACTTTAATATTTAAATAAACAAATCTCGTTACTATGGTCCGAGATATTAATGATATTATTTAAAATACACTATGATATTATTTTGTTTTCAACATTTAAAATGGAAAAAGTTATTGATTCAATTATAGATAGATGCTTATACATCTGTGTATTTATGCCATATTATTATATTAATGTTAATATAATTTAACATAATAAAGGGCGTCAGCATGGGGAGGCAAGTAAGAGCAGTTGTTGTTGCTTCCCACTTTAGATTTTCCTGAGTTAATTTTTATAACCATTATAGGAATTATAGGATTGTAATGTGCTAAAAAACTCAAAAAGGCCACAAAAATGTTGAATAATGCACTTCATTATTTTTAGTTTTAATAATACCTTTAAATTCTAATATAAAATTGGTATAAACAATAATGTATACATTTCAATCTTTTAAAGGATTGTAAAAAGATTTACAGTCAGGTTTGATCATTGTGGTATTTTTTAATCTGAAATATTCATTATTTCTTTTTTTTTTATAGATTTAGATAATATATTTATTTACTTGTACACGGATATAGTTTGTTAAAAAAATCATGTAAAAAAATGTATACATTTTAAAATACAATTTCAAACCCAAATTTTAGATTCAAAAAATCCTAAAATATAAAAAATGAAAATGTCTTTCTTGTTTTTATGTATCTAACCAGTTGTAAAACTCGTGATCAAAGACATTTAGCATCTTTTCGTACGAATAGTATAGAAAAACATATTGTACATGTGGTTGCATTTAATAATATTCAGGCGGCAAACAATCAAATGAATCGTACCAACTACACAAGATAGCGCTACGGAATACATAAATCCCGAACGTAAAGTCCAATATGATCCAATCTTTTTACTTTCAAACAAAAAGTCTTAGGATATTTTTAAACTATACATTTGATTTTCTTATACAATATTATATTTGATAATCATTTCTTATACATACAATTTACAGATATTGTAGCTTGATGAGGCGAGGTCGTACGCTCAATCTGTGGCAACGCTCTGAGCGTACGTACCGACCGTCGTTGCAAGCACTCTGATGGGTGCCCATCCGGGTTTTTAACAACACATCGTTGCCACACATACAAACGTGTTCCAACCAATCACCCCCCCACACACACACAGGCTAATTATCTTAGTAGTTTAAAATCCTTAATTAAAAAAAACAAATTTACAGATATTAACGTTCCATATAAAAATTCCATATAAATGTATCCTTAACTGTATAATACGAAAAATACAAAAGATAAAAATGTCAAGTGTTCTTCAATAATAAATATATACATTACGCCATTACCTACCTCCATATTAATAATATATTATAATATATGCATTATTGTTTTCATAATATATTTTAACTTTTGTGAATATTATTGGCCATAGCGAGTTTGGCAGGTCAATAAGGTGCCAAAGTACACTCCATATTTTTTTTAATATTTTAGAAAATGTATTATTAAAACAAATTGTTTCTACCCGTGATTTACCCGTTATAGGTTTCTACAAATATTACTATATTAGTTTGGAAAACCTTATATCTCCTTCGTATCTGTCCACCCATCCGTTAGTTACAAGTAAATGTAGTTACAATTGTTGGAATATACCTATATAGGAATTTATTGTCCGCAGTTACGGTTGTTGATATATGTCCACTCAATTATTAATTTTTTATAACCGTTCTATTCAAGTAAATTTATACTAAATTATTTTATAATCGTACATAATTATGTATGAAATTATATCTTAATGGGTTGATATTTTAATACATTTAGAAATCAGGAATTATTTAGCACGTTTGATTTCTTGGCACAATATATTTTTTTTTTAATTTAAAATTTACATTTAATAATCATTTATAAACTAATCTTATATTATTCACGAGATAAACGTTTTTAAAATATTCTTCCTATTGGCATCTTTATTATGATATAGTGTTTGAAATGTAGATATATTATTTTGGTGTTTTTGTTACAACGAACAATGTATTATAATATTCTAAAAGTAAAAAGCACTTCCCTAGTAATAAATTAATATAGCTGTGTATATCTATGATCATGTCGATTATCGATGCAGCACACAGAACACATCGTCTGAAGTCGAGATTCGCTCACCGACAGTAAACCGAATTGATCAGATAGCCTGCAAGATCGTATTGGCAGTCACGATGATTTCGCCGGTCTGGTACAGTAAATGAATACAGTTCAATGCCGGACATCGCGGGGTAGGCGGCTTCTGCGGAACTGAAGTCGACGCGAGATTGCTACAGGAGCATGTCATCATCCGCCGATGTGATAAGGACAGTCCCGGTTACCGCGTCGCTCAATGTGGAAATGGACAAACCGAATCGGCAGACGCTTATTTTGTAGGTACGGCCTGTTATACACATTTCTCATTTCGTGCAACGTTGTCAATTTTTTGGCGGTCCTTCTATAACCTACAGAGGCTCGGTCGTGTAAGCGGCTCATGAAATAACCGTATATACGACGTACATAACAAGTTTATACGATTGTTATTAACTGCCATTTACACATAATAAAAATCACATCGTATATTATTATTTAAAAGCGCATCTACACAGTAGTGGAAAATTAATTTATGTGATTTGTGAAAATCTTGACTATATTGCGCAGCCATACCTTTAGACTTTTGGTTTGTGAGTAACCGGTGTAAATTTTTTTTTTTTAATCGATGTTTAAAAAATGTTTAAAAAGATCAAAAAAGTCATTTGTCTACAGCTAGAAAGGTTTTAAAACAATGTTTGAACATTTTTTTCGTGTACAGAAAATGGTTACATGAACATTTGGTGAAAATTCCAAGTATCTACGGTTATTCGTTTTTGAATTACATCAAAAACGACAACTGCTTTGTCAAAAGTTGTTTTTTTATAAATAAAATTCGTATTTCTTAATTTTTTTCGAGTTTTTCAGATTATTAAGACAAGTAGATATTGAAATTTTAAATTTTATAAATTAGAATGTTTGGTCGATTACTTACAGGAAATGTATCCTTTCAGAAGTTTTAAATAAAATTAGTAATTGAAAAAATATATTTAATTAACACTGCATTGTCTATATGTATCAGGTTTAAAAACTTTTTTAACCTATTACCTGGTTTTAGTATAGCTATGTAATTGAAATTTTATTAAAAAAATATACATACATATTCAATTTTTACACATAACTAGAACTTTTACACGTATTTCCTCACTTTTCATTTCTCAAATATTGACCAACAGAAATAACTCCGTTAGGTTAGACCGTGATTCGCGATCGACGACTAGACGTGTTCGGTGGTATGTGGGAATAATATACTCGTAACAACATCGTCGGAGATTGTGGACCGCGTCATCGGGATTTTCCACTGGTTCTTACGACGATACGCACTCGTAAGTAAACGACTGCCGACTGTTGCTGAGAGGAATCGATTTGCAATCAGTACCTACGTTACTACGTTACTAAACGTTAGTGTCCGTTTAGTGTTTACAACGCAACAAATAGTTTGTATATAAAACTAATTATTATTTATTAGGTACGTACGTACTATTTATTACTGAATGTGGTTCATCTATAGACTCTATATACGTCACTTAATAATAGTTTTTTTTATTTATTGTTATAGTACATACTAATTCAAAAAAATGGTTCTTGAAATAGTGGTTAGTTTTAACTTTTAAATATTATTAAATATTTAAATCCACTCGCAATACGGTATTTCTGTGTAAATCTTATGATCTATTCAGTTTTTTCGTCTTCTTGTCAAGAAACAAACAGCAACTCTAAATATTATCCACCAAAATTAGTTGAATAAAAATCAATAAGTTATCAGTTATCAGTTTATATTGTATGTAAATATTATTCCTAATAAAAACATTTATTTTTGTTTATTATTAAATTATTGTGACAATGATTGAGTTAATAGAGATTATAAATAACTCAGTCAAATATAACACCTTGCCTAACCATTTAATAAAATAATTAATCAAGTAACATAAATATTAAGCTGAATCAAGGTATTATATTTTTATATTGTTACTATGTACATATACGTACCTAAAACCTACTACCTCATACCTATAATCGTATAAAGATTGCATTACATATGACAAAATTTGAATTTGTTCTATTCTTGAATTCCAAATGTCTAGTTAATAGGAATTTATTGTATATACATTTAAAAAAAAGATTATAACATTGGAAAGTTTAACACATATAACATAAGAACTTAAATTGTTTTTAATATTATGAATAGACTATAGGTATATTCTTAGGTATATTAAACTTTTAAATCGATTCTGTGTAAATGCAATTATGTGTTTGTTTTTTCAGTTTTATTATGAGATTAGAACAAATTTTTATTTTTATGGCATGCGTGATCAGTGTGGCAATTGCTCAATCCAACGATGGTGAGTTATATTAAATACAATAAATACTATAAACATCAATGTAATAATATTAATTCTTACTGTAATAAATTAAATATAGAAAATGATCATTACTAAAAAAAATATTTACATAAAATAACTGCAAACATTTAAAAGATTATTCTCAAATTCCAAAATTTTAGTTCTTGATGTATTGAAGACATTATACTAAAACAAAATTAATAGAGCGCACTACCACGGCAGTTTAGCTCCCATTATATTATAGAATTTAGAATTATATTTTATACTTTAACTCGTATAATTCCCGTACACTCCCATAATCTCATACATCACTATCTATAACATTATTTTAATCAATGGTCAAGGTAAAATATAGTTTCTACGTTATTGTTTTTATCTAATCTCATTTAAGCTAAGAAATGAATCATCATATTATATTGATATATTCTAATATAGAAAATAATTGTACCTATAGCCTAATGCCTATAGGTAATTTCATAATAAAAAAAAATCGAGTTTAAATATTTTCATAATTTTGTTTGGTTACTCTGTATTGGTATGAACTATATTAATACTATTTTTGATGTTATTGTTGTTTTTGTTGCTGCTATTATACTTATTACTATTATTTCTAACAGAATGCCGTACACCAAATGACGAGAATGGTGTTTGTATTGATATTAGAAATTGCCAAAAGTTACGATTGCTACTGCTAGATAAGAATATCACCGAGTCTACTTTAATCCTTCTTCGCAATTCAATTTGTGGATTTGAAGGTACAAGTTCAAAAGTTTGCTGTCCTTTGGATGAAAAAAATCATCCAGAGTCCAAATTACCATCACAAATCACGTGTGGACAAAGGAAGCTTTCTAGTTTTCGAATAATTGGAGGAAGTCAATCTGAATTAGGTTAGAACTTGAAAAAAACTGTACATTTCATTTTAATATTTTACTTTTATTTAGGTGCTTGGCCTTGGATGGTAGCTCTTGGTTATCAAAATTTAAATATAAATAATAATTCTCTACAGTGGCTGTGCGGCGGAACGCTTATCACAGATTCATACGTATTAACATCTGCCGAATGCGTAAAAAATCGTGTTAATATAAGACTGTAAGTACATTTATACATATTTTAATGAGCCTTCAATATAATTGTTTGAAAATATAAATAAATATTATTTTACAATATTTTTTTTATTTTTAGGACCATGGCGCGCTTGGGTGAATTAAATTTGGATCCTAGCGTCAATGACGGCGCAACTCCATTGGATGTTCCAATTGAACGTATTATAATACACGAAGGGTACAATCCTGAAGGGGTTCTAAATGATATAGCGTTACTAAAATTAAACCATAGTGTAGCTTACACTGGTACGTTTTTCCATCATGAATGTTTTTAAATTAATTTATTGTATGTACCTAAATATTCAATACTAAATACTAATCATGCCAAACGTGGCATATATACCTACATAATATCTCAAATTGTAAGGAATCCAATGGTTGTATAAATATTATTTTTACATGGTAGAATAATTTGCTATATTTGCATACATTTCCAGAATTGATCCAACCAATCTGTTTGCCAATCTCATTGGATGTGAGAAACATTAATTTGACAGCAACTGCTATGCCATTTGTTGCTGGTTGGGGTTCCACCGATCCTCCATCAGTTATAAGTAATTATTATGTTTACTTATAACTGATATATATATATATTAGCCACGATGTATTATAATGAATAAACGTAATAATATTATTGATTATACAAACATCATTTAAATTATATAAAATGCATGTGTATTGTGTATTTACAATTGCAACAATTAATACATATTGTATTTGTTCAGGTGTACCACGCAATACATATTTGATGGAAGCTCAAATTCCAATAACGAATACCACGGAATGTAAACAATTATATGAGAAAAACAATATTGTAATCGATGACAGAACTGTAATATGTGCTGGACCTTCGGAGGGAGGGAAAGATGCTTGTCGAGTAATTTTCTGTTTTATTTTGATATGTTTAGAGGATGCCACACCCATATGTGTTGCCTCCGTCTTACAAACGCGTAACATACCAAATTTACGCTCAGCAGTTCACGTTTTATGCCACTAGCTTAAAAATTAGAGTGAATCGACTTATTATAAAACTTGACGGTAAGAACTATATCTGTGTTTTTTTTTTTTTAAGTTTTTTTACGATAATTCAGTTTTTAAGTGAGGTATGCTTGTATAATAAATGTAAATTAAAAATGCTCATAACTCACTTAAAAACTGAATTACTTATCGTAAAAAAACTTCCACCAAAACACAGATAGAGTTATTACCATCAAGTTTTATAATAGGTCGATTCACTCTAATTTTTAAGCTAACGGCATAAAACGTGAAGTGTTGAGCGTAATTTCGGTACATTATGCGTTTGTAAGACGGAGATAGCACATGCGGGTGCTCTTATTGGAATATTAGGTCCTCATGATTTAAATAATGACTATTTTTAATCGGTTTCAGGGTGACTCCGGCGGACCTTTGATGTTTTTCATACAAAATCAGTATTATTTGATGGGCATAGTGTCTAGTGGACCTAAAATATGTGGCGAACCAGGTCATCCAGGAATATACACAAGAGTGCCTTGTTTTATCGATTGGATTATAAAAAAACTGAACAGCAGCTAACTATAATAAATTGGAACTTTTTAAAATATGTGCATAGGCTAAATCATGGGTACATACATATAACATGTAGGTCGTGCCAGCAAAATAATTTAATAATGCCTTCAATTACCAATATTTTTTAAAATGCAATTGCTACATAAAAGTATAATATTTAAGTAGAGTGCCAATGCCTATTCTGTTATTTTTTTTACTATTAAAATTCTATAGGCTTAAAGTAATTTTAATGATAACCGGACCATTTAATTTATATTTATATATTTCATGTTTCACATCCTTTCACTTTACGAAAACAGGAATTACTAAATAAATAAATAAGATGTATTAGATGTAGCTTCGGGTTTGTGTTACCTTAAAACATTAGAACAAGTTAGAACAAGTTAGAAAAATTCAAAAAATGTTTAATAAAAATTAACGATTTTAAATGTTTAGTAGGTAATTAATAACGAATTAAATATTAGGTATATTATTAATAATCTAGGTACCTATTGATAGTTTTTTTTCACTATTTAACTGTAAATATAGTTAAAGTTTTGTTTTAATTTTTGTATACTTATTTTAAGTATTTAGATACATTTTTTTTTATATTGTAAATATAGATTAGAATTTCGTTATAATTTTTGTATAGATACTTACTTTTAGTATTTAGGTACATTCGGACCTAGAATGATAGACAATAAAGTACATTATCATGAAAAACAAAAAAATTTTCTTCTATGAAGAATTAAAAATGGTTTACAGTTAATTACCTAAATTCATGTTCTTGTACTTGGTTGGCTTTGTATAATTGTATATTTGTATCTCACGTGCAGTATGTTTTTGTCATCCAGATGGTACATATAAACGATGTTCGGATTTAACAATCGGAATATCTGATTATCTAGGTCCCTTGAACTGATTCTTCTGTAAATGTTATCTAATCTATTATCGATATAAAAAATAGTAATCTTAATAATATAGTAAAATTGCATTATTATTGTATTGCCAATCCGCCAACAGTCAGCTTCACAGCTGCTACGTCGTCTGGCGTGTGCCTTTAATCGTTCTTGGAAGTTGTAATCATGGTGACATGGTATCATTCACTAACCATGTCCTACCGGGAAATTACTAGAGTTGGGCAGAGCTCAAATTTTGGACACGACACGACACATGACAGACGATGTTGGTATATAGCTGCGTCCTAAAGCGTGACCTTAAGCCGTGACCTAAAGCGTTTGACCACCGAATGACGACAGACGATTCCGGACTGACCACAAAGTACAAAATACAAATTACATCATTTCATAATTCGGGTTCAGAAACTACACGCTACCAAGTCGATGCCGGATTGCCATCTACCGGTAAAAATAAATGGAAACAACGTTCGTTATCGTCAATAATATCCGTTTGTGGCTGTGATAAGCCGGTATCTCTCTGACGTGCACGGTGATAACAGCGTTTATTAATTATTTCGTGAAAATAACAACAATAATAATAATGATTTGTCCATTGCTGTTCTTCACCACGGCGGCACGACCGTAAAGTGCGCCTACGTTGCGGTCTCGATTCACGATGAGTAATGTCAATAATTATCATTTATCACGACGGGAAGATAATTAATAATTCCGTCGTATTTTAATCATAACTGTAATTTATCATCATTAATCATTATAATACTCGATACGTGCGTGCAAAATACTACAACAACACGACAATAATAATAATAATAATAATATAGTGGGTGTGTGCGTGCTGCGTGTGCGTGTGCGTTTGCGTGCGTGTGGCAAACCGTCGTGGTCGCGCGTTATCCAAGTTTCCAATTCCCAATCGGTTCGACCCGATAAAGAATAAATGCTCTGAGTGGCTGGCCTCTGCCGCCGCGTCCCGACTCCCGACCGACTCATCCAGATCGTCATACGACGTGGCACGTTTAATGTTTATCATCCGTGTGTCACGCACCGCGTTGGTCTCGATCGCGATCCGCACTATGGACCGTCCACGTTTCAGAAGACGACACCCGACAACGTCCGCTACCGCCGCCCCCTCTGTCACCTACGATTCGAGCACTGACAACGTTTAACAGGTCTCCACCGCCACCAGTCAGCAGATCGCCCAGGAGCAGGAGACCCGCACCGAGGATAAGCCAACGCAGGACCCGGTGTAGAGACGATCGCCGGCAGGACTCGGGGCATGTAAAGTCAGTCATCCTACCGACATGTGTGGCGTCGAAACCAAAATGGCTCAAACCAAAGCCCTGATATTGGTCGGCGGTTACGGCACCCGTCTGCGACCACTCACGCTCAGCCGGCCAAAGCCGCTCGTCGAGTTTGCCAACAAGCCGATGATACTCCATCAGATCGAAGCCCTAGTCACAGTCGGTGTGCGAGAGGTAAACACGTTCGCTATCTAGAATCGGGTGATTTCCCATGTCTTTGAGCACCTCTAGTGGCCCCTCCAGCTGCGTGACTTGTCATTCGACATCCCTGTGGTGTCTTGCACAAGGTAGTGTCACTTCAGGCCTAAACTCAGTGCACCTGTGCACATTTGTCATAGTCTCTCTATGCTATTTTATCATATTGAGTATAGTTTAAATATTAGTCTTGTATTTGAAAAACATCAATTAGTTACTAATGTTTATTATTTCAAATTTCTGTTGATTAGATTTTATTGTTGATTTTATGGTACCTAATTACTTTGATAATATTATCTTTCACTGCTTACCTATACCTATTATTATGTTTATATTTTTTATTCATGGTAAGTGATAATACTATTATAATTATTGTTGAATTTAGGTTATATTGGCTGTCTCGTACCGTGCTGAACAGATGGAAAAAGAGATGAGTGATGAGGCCAAGAAACTTGGTGTTCAACTAGTTTTTTCACATGAATCTGAACCACTTGGCACTGCAGGACCTTTAGCTCTAGCCAAACATTTGTTGGCCAACGAACAAAACCAGCCATTTTTTGTCTTAAATTCTGATATTATTTGTGAGTATCCATTTAAAGACTTGATTGCGTTCCATAAATCGCATGGCCGTGAAGGTACAATTGTGGTGACTAAGGTTGAAGAGCCATCCAAGTATGGTGTTGTCATGTATGATGAAGACACTGGTCGCATAGAGAGTTTCATTGAAAAACCACAAGAGTTTGTCTCCAACAAAATCAATGCAGGCATCTACATTTTAAATCCATCAGTATTGGATAGAATTAAGTTGGAGCCAACGAGCATTGAAAAAGAAGTGTTTCCTTTTATGGCCCAAGATGGTCAATTATATGCATTTAACCTAAAAGGATTCTGGATGGATGTAGGACAACCAAAAGATTTTCTAACTGGTTAGTTGTTAATTTGTTTTGATCTCATGAGATATCTTATCAATGCATTTAATATTAAAGTACCTATAATAATCGTTTATTATTTTCAGGAATGTGCATGTACTTGACATCATTAAAGACACGTAGTCCAAATTTATTGTATTCTGCTGATGGTGTCGTTGGTAATGTTCTAGTTGATCCAACTGCAACTATAGGTGAAGGTTGTAAAATTGGTCCTAATGTTACTATTGGTCCAAATGTAACTGTTGAAGATGGTGCTTGCTTAAGAAGGTGTACAATACTAGCTGGGGCCACAGTTAAATCACATACATGGTTAGACTCTTGCATAATTGGTTGGCGTTCAGTAGTGGGATGTTGGGTGCGTATGGAAAATACTACTGTACTTGGAGAAGATGTTATTGTTAAAGATGAACTGTACATTAACGGTGGACAAGTTTTACCACACAAATCAATCAGTACTTCTGTACCTGATCCTCAAATTATTATGTGATGTGCACTAATTATTATTTGTAAAAATAATTTGAATTATTATTAATTGTTAATTTTTTAACTTCATGTACATAATTGGGGTATTTTTCTTTTTTATTTATCAAATATTGAATCTGTGCAAAAATTAAATGTTTCCTAATGCCAGACAAATAAAGAGATTAAAGCTTATTCTTATAAATTATAATAAATGCACTGTATTTAATCAGCTATTCTGACAGTTCATTTTTAATAACTGCCATAAACAGAAAGATTTGGACCATTCAGATTCCAGGGCTCAGAATTATATTATTATAAGCAATTATTGTAGAAATATTAAATAGCTATTTATTTTGTAACCTATCATAATAATTTAGGTTAATGAGCATGATTCATGCAATACTATGTTGAAAAATAAACAATTATTTTTTTATTATTTGTTTAAATTTATTTATTTAAAAAACACTTGCTTAAAATAATTTTATTTTAACTAGCTATTGAAAATTTAAATATATCAGCATTTTATTATACACTCACATTTTTTGTTTACATTGATTTTATATTTTTCACAGTTAAACGACACCTTTATTATTGTGTATAATAGTATAAATAATAATAGTAAAAAAAAAATATATTTATTAATAGAACTTATTTTTAAGTGGTAAAGATTAAGACTGTATGGTTTGTATGTTTAATTATTTTAACTTAAACAATTTTTGATAATCTAAGTATTGTTATATTCTTTTGTTATCATATTAAGACTCACATAACAATATTTAAAAAATCTATTACATTTGAAAGACATAATAAATTAGTAAATAATATCTTTAATTAACATAACTACAATACACATAAAAAATAAAATGGGAAAAAATAACGTTATTGAGTTATGTCCTAATAGAAATGTATATTTGATCAATAACACATTTCACAAAATACAAATCATTTATTTTCTTATATTTTATTGTTACATGTATTTATTTGTACAATTTACTGAGGCATTCATGGTACTCAACTACGAGACTCATTAAACATCTATTAAGGATAAAGAAAAACTAATCAGTCAATGCATTTTTTATTACTTATATTTTATTTTATTCCAAAAATATAATTTATTTTAACTTTTTTTATTATTTATTTTTATATACGTTTTGTTGTATCCATAATTAAAAAATACATTTCAAAAACACTACCTATAAGAAACTATAAGTCCAATATTTTGATTTTGGAATAAAAATATTTTATTCATGAGTTATATTTTGAAGGCAATCATTTTTCATTGGTTTTTTGATGACATTAAAAATTAAAAATATTGTGTTTAAATTGCTGTACCTACTATTCTGTTGAATAAAATTATTTATATTTACATACGTGTAGTGTTTTATGATTTATTTTAGATTCTGAACAATGCGATGAACTGGAAAAAAAATTGGTTTTGCTGTTGTGTTTTTTTTAAATTTTATTTTTTATGAACATTCTAAAAAAAGAACGATCTAACTACATTATAGCTGTACCCTTTCTGGCTTCTGCATAGAGAATTGAACTAAATGGCAGGTAGGTACTTTGAAGAGTTAATTTATTGATGTTTTTTCAACATAATTTAAAATGTTTTAGAAATATCCATAAGTACAGTCTTGTGGCTTAAAAAAAAGCTATCATTTATAATGCATTTAATACAAGTAATTAGGATTTAAATTGAAATGTTGAATTAAATTCATGCCACGGCATCCCTCTATCAGCCGCGGCATCTCTTTATCGGCCACGGCATTTGCATACGGCATTTGCAACAAACTGCGTAAAGCATTTGCTGTACATTTAGAAATAGCTACGAGCCTACAAATGAATTTTAGCATTTTATTTTGGGTCCAGTATAATTATGAAATAAAATGTAAAAAGTTAAGAATCCAATTTCTGAAGCCATTTCTTGACCGCAATGGTACAATAGAGAACGCATTAAATGTATTTTTGTTCTGTAGTACCTTTGAATTGTGGATCATTTTATGATACTTTCTAAGTAGTAAGTAGGTAGGTACTCACTTAGCATAAAACGATTTTGATTTCATTCCGCGTCACGGCAGATACGCACATCGCGTAGTTCTTGCTATATTTGTCTCTAAATAGGTACCTAGGTGCCATTATTCATATTGACATATTCATTCTTGTATATTGCTTTCTTATTTATATTTATAAAAACTGCTCTAACAGCACATGCTTTGATTACCTTGTTTGTTTCAGTATTGTATACATTAAGACAATTTTAGTGTTAAAAAATTGTTGATGTTGCATCAAACTTATTAATATTATAAGAATCGCAGCTGGCTTAATGGGTACTTTGTTTTATGGCTAAATAATAATATATACCTGACAACCGCTGAGAAAAATAAAAATATTTATTATTTATTATTATTTATTTTTATTGTCTTATTCTGTGATTATAGCTTGTTTCATATTTGAATTAGAATTAACACTAATTTACTTTTAAAGTTAATTCTTATTCTTAGATAGACGATCAAAGATGGCACTGCCGATAAAGAGATGCCGTGGCCGATAAAGAGATGCCGCGGCCGACAATAGATGCCGTGGCCTATGAGGAGATGCCGCGGCCGACAGAATATGCCGTGGCCGATAAAGAGATGCCG